CACCACACCCGGCTAATTTTTAGTATTTTAGTAATTTTAGTATTTTTAGTAGAGATGGGATCTCACCATGTTGGCCAGGCTGGTCTTGAACTTCTGACCTCAAGTGATCTGCCCACTTTGGCCTGCCAAAATGCTGGGATTATAGGCATGAGCCACAGCGCCTGGCCTGATTTAAGTCTTTCAAAAATTTTTTTTCCTTAACATTCTCAATCCATTCTCTGATTTCTTGTGGAGTACAGTTATAACTGTTTCAGTGTCCTTATCTACTAATTATCTTTGTTATTTCTGAGTCAGTTTGATTTTTCTCTTCGTTATGGGTCCTGATTTCTTCTTTGCGTGCCTGGTTATTTTTTTTGTTTTGTTTTTTTTTTTTTTTGAGACGGAGTCTCGCTCTGTCGCCCAGGCTGGAGTGCAGTGGCGCAATCTCGGCTCACTGCAAGCTCCGCCTCCCGGGTTCACACCATTCTCCTGCCTCAGCCTCTCAAGTAGCTGGGACTACAGGCGCCCGCCACCCCACCCGGCTAATTTTTTTTGTATTTTAGTAGAGACGGGGTTTCACCGTGTTAGCCAGGATGGTCTCGATTTCCTGACCTCGTCATCTGCCTGTCTTGGCCTCCCAAAGTGCTGGGATTACAGGCGTGAGCCACCAGGCCCGGCGCCTCGTTATTTTTAAAAATTTATTTTAAGAGACAGGGTCTTGCTCTGTTGCTCAGGCTGGAGTGCAGTGGTATAATCATAGCTCACTGTAGCCTCAAACTCCTGGGCTCAAGAGATCCTTCTGCCTCAGCCTCCCAAGTAGCGAGGGCTAACAAGCATGTGTAACCATGCCTAGCTGATTTTTTAAAAATTGTTTTTGTGGAAATGGGGGTCTTGCTACATTGCCCAAGCTAGCTTCGAACTCCTGGCCTCAAGTGATCCTCCCACCTCGGCTTCCCAAAGGGCTGGGATTATAGACATGAGCTACTGTACCTACCCACCTGATGATTTTTCAGTTGGATATTGTGAGTTTTTGCTTGTTGGATGCTAGATATTTTTGTATTCTTATAAATATTCTTGAACTTTGTTCTGGAACACTGATTACTTGGAAACAGTTTGATCCTTTTGGGTCTTGCTTTTAAGCTTTTTTTAGGCGGGACCAGCACAGCATTAAGTCGGGGTTATTTTTCCTTACCACAGAGGTAAATGTTTCTGAGTACTGTACCCAATTTCCTTGAAATACAAGGTTTCCTATTATGGTTGCTGGGAACAAGGATTATTCCTGTTCCTGTGTGAGGTCTGAATATTGTTCTCTGCCATCCTTTCAGGTAATTATTTCCCTGGCCTCAGGTGGTTTCCTCACATGTGTGTGCTGTTCGGTGTTCAGCGGAAGACTTGGTGGGGTGGCAGGGGAGGCCCACTGCTCAGATCTCCAGAAATTTTTTTCTTTGTAAGTCTTTCTGCTCTAATCTTCTGCCCTGTGAACCTCTTTGGCCTCCCCAGACTATCAGCTTCCTCTCTTCAGTTTAGGGAGAACTCTGGGCTCTGCCTGGGTGCCCCTCCCCTGTACTGTGCCTGAAATTCTCTCCAGGCAGTAAGCCAGTAAGCTGTAGGGTACTCCTCGTTCAGTTCCTTTTCTTTCGGGAATCGTTGTCCTTTCTGCCTGGTGTTCAATGTCTTGGAAACAGTCATTTCATATATTCTGTGTGTTTGTTTGTTTGAGATGGAGTCTTACTCTGTCACACAGACTGGAGTGCAATGGCGCGATCTTGGCTCACTGCAGCCTGCGCCTCTTGGGTTCAAGCAGTTCTCTGCCTCAGCCTCCCAAGTGGCTGGGATTACAGGTGCGCTGCCGCACCTGGCTAATTTTTTGTATCTTTAGTAGAGACGGGGTTTCACTCGAACCCCTGACCTCGTGATCCACCTGTGTCAACCTCCCAAAGTGCTGGGATTACAGGCATGAGCCACCGCGCCCAGCCTATTCTGTGTTTTGTTTTTTGTTTTTTGTTTTTTATTAGCTATTTCCTGTAGAAAGGTAAATGTGATCCCTGTCACTCTATCTTGACCAGAAGCAGAAGTCCACTCTGAAATGAACTTTTGCATTTCATACCCATGTCTGTCATGGGGAAGTTAAGTGGGCCTGGCCTTGTCTTTTTACTTCATCATCCTCTTTTTCAGAACTTCATAAGTAGTTCTTCAAGAATTCAATATTTATTGTGTGTGCCCACTGTGCACTGTGCTGTGTGTTAGCTGCTGAAATGTATAGGCTTGATTCCTTTACCAGATGGACCTCAGGTCTAGTGGGGAGGACAGGCAAGGTTCTTGTGGCTACAACTAAAAGTGCTGTAATACATATTTTGAAAGATCTAAGATGCCACTGCAGTGTAGAATGACATGTATGTTGTCTTAAATATTAGAAATGATTCTGGATTAGGATTGATGGCTTTGTGCTGACTTGTGAATTCTGTCTCCTAACCATGACCAGGTTGTCCGCCCTTTCCTGGACATCCATATTTTTTCTCCCATTGAAAGGCCAGGATTGAATCTGTACTCTTGGGTCCCTAGTTCTCCTGGATTTATCTTCTTTCCATATGACCTTTTCTTTCTGCTTAACCTTTGGGCCTGCTGTAACATCTCATTTCATTTTTCTTTTTGAACTTTCACCAGTGTAAGAATGTTAGAGACTGAAATATTAAAAAATTAGTTGCATTTGCTGTAAGTAGATGAGTTTTTCAGTGAGTTTGCCCATTTTCAAAAGCAAGTCTTCACTGGTTATTTGGAGCGGATGGGAAGGAAGCTTAAGGGTAGTAGAAAACCACAGTTTTGCTAGTAAATCTGGCCTACATTTCCAAAGGAACTCTTTGGATGATGAATGAGGTCCATTACCATTTCAGTTGTTTCAGTGAAGCTGAGAGTTGCCAGTGACACGTGATAATCCTCATTCTATAGTTGAGCAATAGGAAAATGTGGGTAATGCCAGTCTGCATTGACTGGGTCAGCTGTGTAGAGCATTGCCTGAAAAGTAAAAGTTGCAGTCTTGATTGGCTCAAGACTGATATCTTACAGCCTGATGAAGACAACCACTAATTTCCAGTGCCATAATTGATGGGCTTTTTCTTTTCTCTTAGTCAGTTATGACAAGGACCTTCCTTGGAAAGATAACCTATGTTTAGATGACTGTGATCTTAGCCCTTGTGATCTGCCTGGTGCTTGTGGTAGCTCTGGATGTTCCTGTTTTTCCTGAAGGACCTCATTGATGTCAGTTCAGACATTATGCTCACTCAAGAGAATGTGTGGTTTTGCTATGTGTTAAATATCGTATAAGACACACTGCTGTGTCACTTTTAAGCTTCCGGTTTCAGAAGCTCTCGCAGCCCTACTTTTTCTCAGATGCCTGGCAAGCCTGCATATCTGAATAACCCTTCTGTCCTGCAGAGGCTGTGAGAAGCTCTGCTGAGCATTTGAGAGTTAACCATTATTTACGGAGCAAGACCTGTGTGAGGCACTGATTGTACTAACTTACAGAAATTGTGTGAGAGATCTTTTGACATCAAAGGTACTTATGATCCAGAGGGGAAATCACATAGGTGAATTAATTCAGAAGCCTGTTCAAGACTACAAGAGAAAATTCCAAGATAAACAAAACAGTTCATGTTTTGAGTTCTGTTTCTTTAGATTTCTATGTTGGGATTGGTGGCTTGAGTGACCGAGTAGCTGACATCCCAACCATTTTTAGACATGTTCTATTTTGAGGTTGAGTTTGTGGTTTGGGAAGGATGTGTAATCATTTTCAACAAATGCTTACTGAGTGTGCAAAGTATTCCTGTGGTAGGCACAGGGAGTACCAAGAAATATAAAGTTACATTCCCTGGCTTCTAAGGAGCTTCTCATATATGGGAGGGCAAGGCATGTTTAAGATTTTAAAATCTTAGTAAGATTATAAGTCTTAAGAAAAAAGCATAATCATCAACAATTATTAGAAATATATACTGAACTATTAAACTGTCTAAGAAATGGGGCTTGGGTGGTGAACATGTGGCCTGGAAAAGAGAAGGATCTTCACTTTTTGCTATATAGATTCTATATAGTATGTAATTTCTATATGGTTTGAAATTTTTGCCAAGTGCAGTTATTGCCTCTTTGGTTTTTTTTTTTTTTTTTTATCAGTTACAAAAATGATAGAGAACAGAAGATTGTATTAATACATATAATATTAACCTTGAGTATATCTCTATATGGTAGGATTGTGAATGACTTATTTTTATTATACCTTGTTATAATTGTCTACATCTCTTTTAATGAATATATATTATTGTATAAGTAGAGAAAGGAAGTATTTAAAAAACAAATCCAAAACCACCTACAATGATGATTATAACTATATTTTAACATGCTTACTGTATTTTGAGTATAATATACCAGTTTTCCCTTTTTTACCTCCTTACTTTCACTGCAACTCTAGTGAGGTTGTTTTATTATTATCATTATTACTATGGTTATTAAATAAAAAGGTGAAACAAAGACATTTGCTTCTTGCTTCTGCCCCTTGTCATTTTGAGTGAGCTAGCCTAGAAGTAAAAGGAATCCAGTTATGAACTTCTCAGCTATACTGTAAAGGATGCCCAGAAAAATTTAAATTATGCTGATTTGGTTACAATTACGCCTGCCAGTGTGGGCTATGATCTCTTGTTTTAAAGCATCCTAAAAATACTTTGCTATACCTTTATATATAGTTCTGTTGGAGAGGGCAATTAGATTATCCCATCTCCCCATCTGGTGCAGTAAAGAAAACTCATCTGCTTGGCTCACTTTGTGTAAAAGAGAATTTAAATTTCCAGGTTATTTGTGATTCATATTAAGTAGTTAAATCCCATCTCTCCCAAATTTTGTACTGGGAATCCATATCCCCTTTATAATTATTAACTTAATTACTCTGAACAGTAATAAAGTTCAGATATTTAAAGAAGCCAAAGATTGAAGGAGAGTAGCTGTCATTTCTAAATTAATTTTTTTTCCCCTTATAGCATGTGTTTGATGATCTCAGAGGCTCAGTATCCTTGTCCTGGGTTGGAGATAGCACTGGGGTAAGTCATATTTTGAGTCTGTTATTTCAACCCAGCAAGAAGATGACAACTGATTTGGGGGGCGGTTAAGCACCTAGTATCATTTCTTCCTGAAACTGTCTTTAGCCTCAATCACAGGAAATGTTTGCAAGACAGACTTTCAGGAAGTTGTAATTGTGTTGGTTTTGCTTTAGAACTGGGAACATCTTTTTTTAGGGTGCGGTAGGGACGGAGTTTCACTCTTGTTGCCCAGGCTGGAGTGCAATGGCGCGATCTCGGCTCACTGCAACCTCCACCTCCCAGGTTCAAGCGATTGTCCTGCCTCAACTTCCCAAGGAGCTGGGATTACAGGCACCCACCACCATGCACAGCTAATTTTTTGTATTTTTAGTGGAGGTGGGGTTTCACCATGTTGGCCGGGCTGGTCTTGAACTCCTGACATCAGGTGATCCACACGCCTCAGCCTCCCAAAGTGCTGGGATTACAGGTATGAACCACTGCACCTGGCCGGGAACGTCTTCTGATCACCTTCTTCCACAGTAGGAAGATGGACACCTTTTCAGTCCTTGGTGGCTGCTTAGCATCAAGATGAGCAAGAAGAAAGAGGGAAGAGAGTGCTCTGTATTGAGAAGGGAAGCTCACAATACTTGGGAAAACCCCTATATAGAAACAGAAAATGTCCATTAAAAACATCCTGGCACTTTTCCTCCAAACTGTATTGTTCCTGTGTCCTTTCCCACAGGTGTGTTGAGGGACTGTGGTGCCCATGGGCTCATGGTTGTTCATCTGTTGTCCTTGCCCCTACCACAAAGGAGGTACTGTCAGGATTGGGGGACTGGAAGGAGGATCAGTCAGCTCCTTATCCCTCCTGATATACAGCTGGGCTTCCACTAGGAGGGCATGCTGAGGATACATTGGCCTCTGGTCTTAAATCAGGACTTGTTGCCTGGCTGTCTTAATATCCTGCTTGAACAAGAGCGGAGGCAACATCTCCTGCCTCCTGGTATTCCATAATACATGTGTCATTTCATTGAGGCACATGATAGTTATATTAGAAGCCTAAAGAAATAAAATATTGGTGCTGAAAAGCAAATTGTAAATTTCTTATTTTGATTAATTTTTAAACTTCTAGTAGAATTTCTGTAAGTATAGCTCAGTTTTTTCTAGAATTTGAGTTGTACCCTAATTTCCATGATTTACCCTTTTATCTTAGATAGTTGGTATCTCCAAGATTTCTTTTTTTCTTTTTTTTTTTTTGAGACAGAGTCTCGCTCTGTCACCCAGGCTAGAGTGCAGTGGTGCAATCTTGGCTCACAGCAACGTCCGCCTCCCAGGTTCAGGCAATTCTCATGCCTCAGCCTCCCAAGAAGCTGGGACTACAGGCATGTACCATCATGCCCAGCTAATTTTTGTGTTTGAAGTAGAGACAGGATTTCACCATGTTAGCCAGGCTGGTCTCGAACTCCTGACCTTAAGTGATCTGCCCACCTCAGCCTCCCAAAGTGCTGTGATTATAGGCATGGGCCACGGTGCCCAGCCATCTTCAAGATTTCTCATATGGCTTTCTGAGACTCCCTAGACTCTTGTAGTAATCCATCCAGAATCATTTCCTCATGCATAGTTTTTGGTAGATAAACTACTGAAAAAAATGAATTTCATGAAGAACCAACAACAAGGAGAAGAAAAAGACAAGACAGACATGACACAGTGACCTCTAGGAGAACACCCACGCTATTCTAGCTTCTATAAGGAGAAAATGGAGAGGGTGCTTGCCTGAGAGCATCTTACAATAGTATGGATACAAAATAGTTAAAGCCTTCTTTTATTTTAATGTGTATTTGAGTAGTCAGCCTCACTGCTTCAATGGAGGCGATGGGGATCATCCCAACAAAATGAGCTGAGGACTTTCTCATCATTCTCAGCCCTAGTACCTAGATCTTTCTAGACTTTGGGGAGTACTACAAAGTAGGGATATCAAAAGTCTTTTAGGTGTTGGCTCAATCTTGAACACATATCAGCATGTGATTGGAGTATCTTTTTGATTTATGGAATGCTTTTTTCTCTCTCCAGGTCATTCTAGTCTTGACTACCTTCCATGTACCACTGGTAATTATGACTTTCGGACAGTCCAAGCTATATCGAAGGTGAGATCAATAACACGCGTTGGAGCATTTGACTAAGTAACATATTGAGAATGTAGATTCTCCCTTTTCTAGACATGATGGCGTGTAACAGTTGATGTAAAAGATCTTCTAGCCATCTTAAGTTTTCACCAGACTGTCACACTTAGCACATGTTGTTGTTGTTGTTTTGAGACAGGGTCTCACTCTGTCTCCCAGGCTGGAGTGCAGTCAGGCTCAAGCCATCCTCCCACTTCAGCCTCCCAAGTAGGCAGGACTGCAGGCACATGCCACCACGCCCGGCTAATTTTTTGTATTTTTTGTAGAGATGGGGTTTCCCCATGTTGCCTAGGCTTGTACCGAGCTCCTGGGCTCGAGTGATCTGCCTGCCTCAGCCTCCAAAAGTGTTGGGATTACAGGCGGGAGCCACTGTGCCCAGCCCCCAGCACTACTTTTTTGTTTGTTTGTTTGTTTTTGAGACAGGGTGTGGCTCTGTCACTCAGGCTGGAGAGCAGTGGCGCAAACACGGCTCATTGCAACCTCTCCCTCCCAGGTTCATGCCATCCTCCCACCTCAGCCTCCCAAGTAGCTGGGATTACAGGCATGTACCTCCATGCCTGGGTAGTTTTTGTATTTTGGATAGACAGGGTTTCACCATGTTGCCCAGGCTGATATTGAGCGCCTGGGCTCAAGCTATCTGCCTATCTCAGCTTCCCAAAGTGCTGGGATTACAGGTGTGAGCCACAGTGCCTGGCCTTAACATCTAATTAGCAACTGAAAGAAGTATGAAAAGGGACCTGGTTCCAAAGAGGTTGGTTTGACCTGACTGAGGGGCAAAACAATAAAGGAAGATGAAGAAAGAGTCTATAGTGCTGTGTGTGTGTGTTCATTTATGTGGATATTTATTTGTGGGAAGGTAGTATGGAGTTTAAAAAGTCTTTCTATTAATTTTGAGCACAAAATGGTTTTTTATATTCCTGAAATAAAAATCTTCATTGTACTTTCCCAGCAAATATTATTTATACAGCATTTTGAGGCCTAAGCAGATTATTTTTACGTAAGAAGGAGGCTGTCAGGTCAGACCTACCAAAAAGCTTTGTAGTGTTCACACTGGTGATAATGATGGTAACTTGGGTTCTGGAACCACAACCTATACTGTGACACTGGTGAAGTTTTAGAGTTGTCTTCTCAAAGGTATGACTTGATTAAAAAGTAGGTTCCGTTCCTTTACAGTAAGATTCAAGACCAACTAATTCCTAGAGATTGCTGAATGATTGTGTCTTCTCAATCATTTATGTCTGTCTCATTTTCCCCTAGGGACCTAAAGAAATAATGACCTCCCAGCAGATGATATAGAAACTACCCTAGGGTCAGGGTATCTCCCAGGAGTCATGGTACTTTCTCAAGGTTCTTTATTTGACTGCTGTTCTTGGCCCAAGTGGGAGTGAACCCACGTTCAAGCTCTGAAATGGATTAGCCTAACCTCTCTTCCCCATGAGGTATGAACTTTGACTACATCTCCTGGGCATGGAGCCAGAAGTCTCTGCCCTTCAGTACATTAATGTTGTCCCAGAGAGGCAACAAATACCTTTAGGCCAACAAGGAATTGCTATCTTAGAACTACAGTGCAAATTCCATGAAGGCAAGGTTCTTGACTAACTGGGTTCCCCAGAATCTAGCCAAATGCCTATGCCTAACATGTAGTAGGCAGGCAGTAAATAATAATCAAATAAATGAATGAATGTCTTGGCTTCTTTATAATTTTTGGATGGATAATTAAAATTTTTTTTGATACAGGATCGACTATATTTTAGAGTCTTGGTGCTAGAAAGAGCTATAATAGGTGACTTTGTTTATTCAATCAGAACAGTAGTTGAACCATTTTAGATGAAAAGCATCCTATTTGGAGAGAGAAAAATGCGTTTTAAAATGTGTAACTTTGCTTCAGTAACTCTTTCCAGTGTTTAAGAATGTTTGCTCTCATAAATTCCCCTCCTCACAATTGCCCATTCCCCAGCTGGGCATGGTGTCGCACATCTGTGGTCCCAGCTACTTGGGAGACTGAGTTAGGAGCATCTCTTGGGTCCAGGAGGTTGAGGCTGCAGTAGCTAGGGTCACATCACTGCACTCCAGCCTGGGTGAGAGAGCGATACCCTTTCTCAAAAAAATAAAATATCTCCTCATGATAGTTTTTTTTACCAACCTGTGTTTCATTATAAAAGCAGTATAATCATATTATAGGACATTTGAAAATTTTAAAGGAAAGAAAAAAGTTCATACAGCCAAGTGTAATCTTAATTCGTTTGTCGTTTATTATCTTGACCTTCCCCTTTAATGTTGTATCATATAGTTGTAGAGTATTGGGAGGCAACGTGGAATAGCAAAATGTTGCCAAGCTTTGTTGGCAAGTAGGCTTAGGATCGAATCACAGCACTGTCATTGCAAACAGAATGAACTTGGGAAAGTCATTTAACCTCCTAAGTCTTTTTTATCATCTGTAAAAGGACAATAATAATGCCCACCTCAGAGCTGTTGTGAGGTATGCTCTGCAGTGCCTGGCATGGAGAAATAGCTTGGGTGCTGTTAGCTGCTGCCATGCCAATGACCAGGGATGGCATGTAGCCAGCAGGTACTGGCATTGCTGTACCAGTTGTTAAAATGAATTTGAAGCCTTCCACACCAGTTGCTAAAAAGTGATTGCCTGCCCCCAGATGCCTCCACGTCTTCTACAAATGCACACTGCACCCCCTAGCCCCTGCCAACATGCAAATGTTACTAACACCTGGCATTATGACCTACATCCATGCTGACTGGTCAGTACTCGTACCTTAACTCTGCTAGTAACCCCTCATTTTTTTAGATTGACATAATTTATCATTGTTCCATTGGACAGTTAGCTTGTAGCTGTTTTTTTCACTGTAACTAATGCTACTGTGATAAATATCATACACATTTGTGTGATAGGGGATGTTTATTTCCAATTCACTTTTTAGTAGCAAAGGAAGACCTCCGCTCTGATGGATGTCAGCATGTTTTAAAGGCTGTTTGTTAAATGCCTCTTTCTCCAGATTGAATTATCTTCTATACCTAATGCCTCAACAACTTAAGACAATCGAAACCAAAACGAGAACCGATACTGCCATGTCACTGTTTAAATACCACCACCATCAGACTCAGCCTTTTTTCAGCCTGTTTTTGTCTAGTCTTGTGAAAAACCCCGCTTTCCTGACATATACTTTACTAGAGTGCAATTCTATTTGTTTCTGATATAGTATAATATTACCAGGGTAACATTTTTTTCATATTACCCAGCAGTTTTTTGTTTCTTTTTTTTTTCTTTTTTTTTTTTTAACCACACTGACTTTGAATATTAATTATCTCTTCCTTGCCACAAAGTGGCAACTGACTCTGTACCTGCTCCCAGAGTTTAGGCAGAAACTGTAAATATGCCTTGTTGCCTTTCCAACTGGGCTGGCCTGGCCTAAAGTGATTGGCCAACCAAGTCAACCATGTTGAACATGCCAACCAAGAGGCGACTGTTGTTTCCGAAATGAGAAAGTGAAAGACGCAGTTTGATCAAAATGGGTCTTGAGTATGTTGAAGTTGCCCAATTACCACTAAAAGCCCACTGAACCCACTCTGAGGACTTTTCTGTTTTTCACAGCATTGATGATTATATTATTCATTAGACTATCTTTGCATACTACATCTTATATGGTTAAAGGTTCATTTGGATTTCAAATAAAAAACAGCAAATCACATGCCACCTGCTCTGTGTATTACAGCATGAAGTCTCACAAGAATAGAAGGAGGTTGTCCCTGTTGATATGCAGAGTTAGAGGGAGTATACTTCTGTCTTTAAGCTGTGAAAAAGAATTATTGAAGGATTTGGGAGATTATATATATGTATATGTATATGTACACAAATATATGTGTGTGTATACATATGTTTGTGTGTACATGTATACACACACATATACGTATTTTCCATTTAAAGGAACTGTGTTTATATAGTATTAATTTTGATTTTCTTATAAGGAATATTAGTTTGTATAATGGATTATAAAGTATGTTTGTCTCGCACATATGAAGTTGAAGAAATAAACTAGCTACAATTAAGATGATAATTTGATTTTTGGTGACTAACAGATATTTTCCATCTTTTTGTTTTATGATGTCTTAAGTCCAGTTTTTCATTGTATAATTTACTTAGTGAACCAAATGTAGGCATTGTTCCACACCAATATTGTATACCTAATTATTAATATCAGAAAGACTGCTGGGCTATTTTATTTCTGGTTTTAATTTCCTATTGAGAGTTGCTCAAATTTTGGGAATTAATAGGAAATCTATAAGAGGTTTTGCATTAAAATATATTACATAGTCAATGTAAGTTTTTCAGGATGTTACTTGAGTTTTTGTTGTTGTTGTTGTTGTTGTTGAGATGGAGTCTCGCTCTGTTGCCCAGGCTGGAGTGCAGTGGTGCGATCTCGGCTCACTGCAAGCTCCACCTCCCGGGTTCACGCCATTCTCCTGCCTCAGCCTCCCAAGTAGCTGGGACTACAGGCGCCTGCCACCATGCCCATCTAATTTTTTTTTTTTATTTTTAGTAGAGACGGGGTTTCACTGTGTTAGCCAGGATGGTCTTGATCTCTTGACCTTGTGATCCACCCGCCTCGGCCTCCCAAAGTGCTGGGATTGAGATTTTTAAAAAAGGATAAATTAAAGGTATACTATGCAAAGTGCTGCTAGTGCAGTAAACCAGCGTCTTCAAGGCATCTTGTGTAACAACCTTTTTTATGATATGCTGAGTTCAGTTTTCGCTGCAGTAGATTGTTAACAATGACTGCATATTTCAGTTACAAGGTTGGCATAAATTCCATTTACAACATATATTTTCTTGCTTTTTTTTTTTAAAGAAAAAGTATACTAAAACGTGATAATGGCATTTTACCTTTAATACAACTTCACTTTTATACACGTCAAGTTGTCAATCAGAGTAAGATGAAGACCCCCAAATACAT